ATGAGTACACATGGTCAGTACACATGGTCAGGGTGAGTTAAAAAAAAGTGTCTAGATACTTCCATTTTACTGTTACCTCTGGATCCCTGAAAAGGAACTTTAAATCCCAAGAAACCCAAAATCCTGAGTTTCTAAAGGTATATGATATAGTGGATTATGACTGTATATCTTATTGTGTAATATAACAGTTTTTAAATATGTTTGCAAACTGTTTGACAATATTTTATGTCAGTTAGCTTTCTGTCACTATACCAAATATCTGAGGTAAATCAACATATAAAGAGAAAAGTTTGTTTTGTTTCAGAGTTTTGGAAGTTCCAATCTGACCAGATGCCCCCTTTGCTTTGGTGAGGTAGCACATCATGGCAGGAGCATATGGCAGAGCAAAACCACTCACCACATGGCCAAGGAGTAAATAAGAAAGAGGTGGAGGTTAGGGTGTCCCACAATTCCCCAAAATGCATACCCATTGACCTAAAGATTTCTCATTAGATCCCACCTCTCAAAGGGTATAGAATCTCCCAATAGTGCCACTCTGAGACAAAATCTGAGCATATAGGACTTTGGGAGATATTCAAGATCCAAGTCATAGCACCCCACTATAAAGGGTAAAGTCTGATCACTCTTCTGTTGAATGGGACATGAGTGGATATGGAGTTATTGACTTTATTTTCATGAACAAAATATGGAAGAAAGAATGCAGCATAACTTCCAAGAGGTTGGGTCATAAAAAAGATGCAGCTTCTTCCTGGCTCTTTCTTGGATTGCTTACTCTGGAGGGTAAGCAGGGTTAGGACATGGATCGATATCACATTATGAGGCAACTCAAGCATCTCCATGCAGAGGCCTATCTGGAAAGAAACCAACCTGCCAGCCATGTATGCAAGCCACTTTCTAGTAGATCCTCCAGCCCCAGCCCAGGTTCAGAATGATTTCAGTCAGAAAATATGATGTTACTCTCATGAGAAAACTTGAGCCAGAACCATCCAGCTTATTTGTTCCTGAATGCCTGACCCATGCAAATCGTGGAAGATAAAAAATAATTAATGCTGCTTTAAGCCATAAATATTTGAGACAATTTGTTACACAGAAAAAGGGTTACCAGTACATATCACCTCAGAGTTAGTGATTAGAGAAGAAGAAAATAGAGGATGAGAAATAAAAAAAAGTGAAATTATTATCATTCACTATAATTATTATGATTTATGACTTACCCATCTCAGTTCTCAATGACATAACAAATCCTTAGTAAGCTCCTTTAATGGTTTATTTTATGTGTTAACCTGAGTAGGCTAAGAGACAGCTAGTAAATATTATTTCTGAGAGTATCTCTAAAAAACTTTCTGGAAGAAATTATAATTGGAATTAGTAGACTGAGTAAAGCAGACCACCTTCAACAATGCAGTTTGGACATCATCCATGCAGTGAGGGCTTTGATGGATCAACAAGGTGGGAGAAGAGAGACTTCTCTCTGCTTTAGCAGGATCAGCATCCTCGCTTGCTCCCAGACATCCACACTCCTGGTTCCCAGGCCTTCGGGTGTCAACTGGAACTACACCACCGTCTCCTCTAGGTCTTCACTTGTAGACAGCAGATAGTGGGACACTTCAGGTTCATCACATGAGCCAAAGCCTTGGAACAAATTCCTTTCTATCCATTATCTCTCTATTTGTCTGTCTATCCATCTGTCAATCATTGATCTATTACCTCTCTGTCTATCATATACCTATCTATCTCTCTACCTATCCACCTATTCATCCATCCATCCATCCATCCTTTATATTGAGACTGTTCTCTGGGGAACCCTAATAGTAGAACTATAAAAAAGATCTACAAATCACATAAAGCTACAGGCACCCCAGTGGGTTGAACCCCTGTTATTTTATGCTCTCTGTCTTCTACTTATAGGCCCTACACCCATGGCCAGAATCTCCCACCCCAACTCCAAATCCTCCATTTCATACCTCCCTGATGTGAAGCCACTTGAAAATGGAATTGCCTCCTCAGTGTCCTGTACAACCTCTCTCCCTTCTCTCTCTCTCTCTCTCTCTCTCTCTCTCTCTCTCTCCCCCCCCACCCCCCCCACTCTCTCTCTCACACACACACACACACACACACACCCATCTTCAACACAGGTGTGCAGCTCTTTACCTGGGACGCCCTGCACTCCTGTCGAAATATTCCTGCTCTTCGCAGCCGCTGTCCTGGCTTATTTGTCCACCTAGTTCTGCCACAGGCCTGTTTCCTTCTTGGAATGCCACAGCAGCTTGGGGCCTCGTCACACAATACTGGACCTGTCACCAACTATTGCCTAGGTTTACTTAACTGTCTTCTTTTCTGATTAATGGTACCATAATTTGTATTTGAATAGTGCCCTCTTGATTTTACATATACATAAAATCATGCAATCCTCAAATTCCCTCTCTGAGATATATTTATGTGTACAGGTATATGTAGGTGTATGTGCATTTATGCATATATATTATTCCCATTATATATATGTATATGTAAATATTTAATATGAGAAATACAACACAGCCTTCAGCAAGAGAGAAACTGAAGTTTAAATTCTAATTCAGACTGAAACTGGTAGAGTGAACGTGGAGATGTACTGAAGCTCTCTGGGCCCATAAATGGGGATTACAATGGCCATTTCATAGAATTTTTAGGAGGACTAAATAAAATAATGCAGTGATAATATTAGGTACATTTATGGAAATCCATATACCAGCTCTCTGCCTACTTTATTTTACATACTTTATTTCATTTCATTGTCTCAATCTTGTGTCAAATGTCTTAACATTATACGCTTGAAAAGGCTGAGAAAACTAAACAAGTGTGTGTAAACCATATAGAATTCTCTGGAGTACCTAATAGGTATGCAACAAAGGGGCTGTCCTTGTTGTTGAAGCTATTGAACAAAGAGCGCTGCCCAGGAAGAGCAGGAGGAGGAAGATGAAGAGTGCAGTTTCCACTCCCCTGCAGGAGAAACTGTCCTGTATGAGACCAGGGCATGGCCAATGGCTTGACAGATTATATCTTCCAAACAACATACCTGTTTTTTCCTACTTCTGTGCTGAATATGGCTCTCTAACATAAAAACATTATTTCCTGCAAGAAAAAAAAATGTTATTTATTTACAGGACAAGAGTGGCATTGCAATATGTTTTCACAATCACAAACACCGGGAATTAACTGTCGGTGATCATGAGAGAAGCTGGGCCTGAGGGTGGGCCATGTTAGTAAGCACCAGTGCATGCTCCCTCTGGGTCTCTGAATACAGGGGTATTCGGCAGAGCTCCACTCAGCAATGAACTGGAACAGAAAAGCTGGCAGGATAGGGATGTCACACTGGCTCCACCCCTGTACTTGAACTCATCATATGCAGCATTTGGGCATTGACTACCCCTCTACCTGGAAGAGTCTTCCCCAAGCTAGCCACATAGCCAACTCTCTCACTTCCCTTAGTTCTATGACCAAATGCTGAGCCTCCAGAGACCCGCCCAGTCCCCTTGTCTGAAATAGCTTCCTCCCCACCTGTACCTGCCCTCTCTTCTGTCCTGCGGATGCATGGTTCATAGCACTTATTACTACCTGACATTTCAAATGTCACTCATCACTTGGTTACTATGATTTTATCTATGTACTTATTTATACTTATGTTTATAATCGAGTGCTTTGTATATCGTCTTCCCAACACTGAAATGTGCACTGCACTAAAACAGGAACAGACTGTGTCCACTGAAGGACCTCAAACATGTACAACAGAATTTGTCATGTAGAGGTGTCTTAGACTTCTCAGGATGCTTTAGAAAATGCCCTAGACGGGATTTAAACAATGAACATTCATTTCTGGATGCTGGGAAGTCTGAGATCGAGGGGTTAGAATCCGAGGATTCTGGTAAGCACCCTCTGACTGGCTTACAGATGGCTGCCTCCTCACTGTGTCCTCGTGTGTCAGAGAGGGAGCTCCAGTGTCACCTCTCCTTATAAGGGCATGAACCTCATTGTGGGGACCCCAGTCTCATGACCTCATTTAAATCTAATAATCTCCCAAAGGCCCTAACTGTCAATGTCGCTATATTGGGAGTTAAGACTTCCATGTGTACATTTTTGGAAGGTGTAACATTCAGTATTATAAGAGTGAGGATAAATGGAGTGTGTTTCTAAGAAAGTTTTATCTTTGTTTGGAGGTTTTTTGGGTTTTTTTTTTTAGGTTTGTTTTATTTGTTAACCTGTTCTTCAATGGGAGTTATAAATAAGGAACAAAAACAATTAAAGTTGTGCCTTCTGTCCTTTCTCTTAGATCCCTTTCAGTTGTGCCTAATATATTTAATGAAGAAAAAGAAGAATACATATTAACTATGGGTTTTTTATATTAGGTTTTGTACAATGATTTTAGACTGACCATTCTGCCCTAGTCTCATGCTATGCTAAGAGGATTGAGCTGGTGTCCTTGTTTCCATTTAAAAGATAAAAAAGCTGTAGTTCAGAGAAGTTAAAGAGTTTTCTCAATGTCACACAGCAATTTAGTCAATGGGGAAAAGGGTGGCTAAGGTTAGAGGACAGAAAACTGGATTCCAACAAAGCAAATGTTTTTATTAGGCAAAATCACAAGGGATCAATGGAACACACAGCACCAAGACCAGGACAGACATGGATTGTTCTCCATCTCCATATTGTGTCTTCCCGTGGACCAGACACACCTCCAGAGCTCTCTTCACACAGTCAGCCTCCAGCATGGATATCCGGATGTTAAAGAGATAACTTTTTGCCTGTCTCATTGACTCTCTTGCCTTCTCCCAGTTTCCCAACCACCAGATGAAGACAGCACTGACTTTGGTTCTACAAAGGGTCTTTTAGGAACTACTGACTAGAAAGTTGTGCTCAGCTCATTATATATATTACTGTTATTTTGACATATTGCACTGGAGTGAACTGTGTGTTTTATATGCACAGAGTCAGAAAATAGTATTATAAATTATGCGTAAAGACAGGAGTAGATGCATTAACATATTTATTTCATTGCCATTACAGAGACGTCTCATATTTATGCTTTACAGAAACTAGAAAGAATGAATCTAATCTTTTGGTACTAGATGATTACATGTTTCAAATGGTCCTAAATCTTGCAGGCCCACAGTATCAGATTTAGCAAACTAGTCCTGAATAGGTAAGTGCATTTATTTATTTGTTTTGCACAGGCCAAGACCAAGAGCCGTCTTCCTTCTATGAACTATTCAGGGGGAACGGGGTTTGTGCCTGCTTTGGTTTGGGTGGGAGTTCCTCCCAAGGACCATGTGTTGAAGGCTTGATCTTACACTGTTGCATTGGCAGATGGTGGAAACTTTAAGGTGGAAGCTTAATGGAGAAAGTTAGATCAGTATCGGGAGGTGACCTTGAAGGAGACATTGGGACTCTGACGCCTTCTCTCCTTTTTTTAACTTCCTAACCACCAGGAGGTGAACAGATAGATCTCTTCTGCCATAAACTCCTGCCATGATATCCTGTGTTGCCACAGGTCTGAAAGCAAAAAAGCCAAGTGACCATGGACTGAGACCTCTGAAACTGTGAGGAAAAATAAATATTTCCTCCTTTAAAGTTGACTTTTTCTGGTATTTCATCACCATGGTGGAAAGCTGACTAACACAGTACCAAGCGATAATTGCAAAGCATAATTATTCTGCAAATTAGCAATGAAGGTAAAATTTCTATATACCTGATTTCTTAGTCACCACCTGGGGGTTCTAATTAAAATTCACTCTTGTTATATGAAATAGCATCAGATAACGTTATCCTTATCTCATTATGTAATAATTACATCTGTGGCTTTTGGTTTGGTTTTTAATTAGCATCCACCGTTCCCTACAAATGTTAGAGGGCAAACAACACAATTCATTTTTTTTAATGATAGACAAAAGCTTAAAGAATGAGGAAAACATCTAAAAGTAATTAGCATACCATGAATAAAATTTCAATGATCTTATTTTATTTCTTAGATTCTTTTCCCCCATGTGATCTTTTCTTTAATATTTACGAAAATTTCCCATGACAAGGCCACTGAAGAAGGACCTCATTGATATTTTGTAAAGGCAGAAACCTGTGGTAAGTGATAGATTCCTCCCCTGATGAGGGAGCATCATGGCTTTGGTCTGCCTATTGCTCATCCTCCATCTGAGCTTCGCACCATACTTGTGGTCCATCTGGAAAGCCAGGGGATATGGTGCTAGGTGTAGGTAGAATCAGACGAGGAACCCCAAGAGTCAACAGGAGTGCTGAACCCAGGAACTGGTTGGTTGCAGAGTGGCTAAAGTGGGCAGTGGGGTGGGGTGGCTACCTGCAGCTTGCCTAGGTTGAGACAGAAAGCTCTATTTCCTGCCAGGAAACATAATGCAGGTCAAGCAAGTGAACAGGAGCCAGAGGACTGTAGGCAAGCCCTCTGTGTGCATGCAGTGGAAGGAACAATTGGAACTATGGCTGACTGTTAAGGCAAGAGCTGAGCACAAAAGTGTGAATGTGTGGCAGGAGGGAGAGGGAAGATGGGAGGTTCTCTTGCCCATCAGGTCTCTTAAAAGCATTTCTAAGAGAAATTTCTGGGTGGCTAATGTTAATTAGGGATACCATGGCTTTGGGTTAAGGATTGGGAACAGAAGCAAGGAGATTTCCTGACCGAGACAGTGTCTCATATCCATTTGTATTTCCTGTCATCTTCCTGGTCTGCAGGAAGATGGTCACATAGCAAGATGCCCCTGGAAAACCAGTAAGAGGCTACCCGACTAGTTTCCAGGTTGCCATGATTATATAGTACATAGAATCCAGATTCAAGGGAGTTCTCACAGATACCTCTAAATTATCTGTAGATTTAAAAAAAGCACTTTGAGCCAAAAGATTTTGCCATTAAGTATTGATGGTACAAGAAGCCTCAACGTCCCCATTTATAAAATTACAGTCAGAACATAATTCACAGAGTTGATAAGAAGAACCATGTCCATAAAAACACTTTTGAGACATCAGAGGGGTAGATAAATATAACAAATTGTTATTATTTCTCAACATGGGCCCAGTAAAATTTTCAGCAAGGTAAGTACCTACGACCCATGTCAAAATTGTAGGTGTTGGGAGTTAAAAGGAAAAGCAGGGAGCGTAGAGGGGAGGAAAGCCAGGGCAGGGGTGTGAGCCCTGCTTCAAGTCCTTCTGCATGTTATCATTGATCCGCCTTCACACAGCCCTGTGTGGCTGGCACAATTATCTCGGTGTCTACAGATAAGCACGCTGCAGTAATGAACTTCCCCAGCTCGCAGAGCTGCTCTGTGAAAGAACAAGGCTCTGACCTTGGCTGATTCCAAAGTCCAAGTGCTTCCCGTATGCCGCAGTGACCCTCTGGGCTCCCTTCAGCAGCTTTAATTATTTCCTCTACTTTGATCTTAGTTCTCCCCCGAAATAACCTCTCAGTAAAGTCCAGGTAAAGTTCCATTTTCATCACTGGACTGTCCCCTCATTTCCCAAATCTCTGGCCATCCCTGTGTCTGGAGAGCTCTCCACAGGTCTTCACTTAGCATTTGTCTTTATGCTGCCTGAAATCATTCATCTGTCGAGGCTGGAAAACCACAGCCCCCTGGCAAAAGGCCTTCCTTCTTCAACACCTTCCAGGCCCATTTTCATTTTGTACCTACAGAAAAGAGAAATGTGTTAGTGTAGTGTCGGGTGGAGAAAGGAGAGTGGGGAGCGCATGATGTCTAAGTGCATCTCACCCCTTAGACTGGGTTGTGCAGAGGAAATAGTCACTCTGGTTTGAAACAAATGCAAAGTCATTTTATATTAAAAAGTTGGGAAGGACAGATGACATCTGAGCTAGAGCAATTTTATATTCAAAATAAAAATTCAGCAAGCATTCGTGGACTACCTGAAGCTGCGTACCAAGGGACTGTTCTTGAGTTGAATGTAATAATTATTGTGAATAATAACTATCCTGTTTCCTAAATGAACTTGCTAATTCAGTTTTACCTCCAAGGCTTGAGAGAATGTCACCACCTTGTATACGAACGGCCTATGGCTCCCTCACTACCTACCTACTATTCTAAAGATCCAGGTTAGCTTCAAAGGCTTGATCAAGACCCTGAACGACGTTGTGCCTCATTATTTAATATTTCACTGAAAAGACATTCCACCCCACTCTTCCTGTCGTGGAAATCATATTTTACAGATTTCTAATTTTGTGTCATTCTCTTTCTCCCTCTTCCTTGCCCTTCACTACCCTGCTCATGGAAGCATGAAGTCCAAGCAGGGTCTTTGTGCCTTCATTTCTCTTACACAAGCCCAACACATCCCATTCCCCTGCCCCAAGCCCTAAGTGAATCACTGGGATGTCACTCAGCAAAAGACCTACTTAAGAGCAACCAAAAACTGAGCATCATGTGAGTCAGGAAGCCAATGCTGCACTCATGTCATATAACTTGCAAGTCTGAGGACAGAAATTCAAAATCTCTATTACCTAACTCCAAGCTCTAACTCTCCACTGTTTCCTGTTCTGCAGCCTTGATTCCAGCTGAATTTCCAGAAAATGGAGACCAGAAGAAAGGCTTCTTTTTTAATCAGACCCTCCTCAGAGCAGGAGAGCTGGCAAGGTGGTCCTCCTCCATGTATGAAGCCTTTCTACAGGTAGAAAACTGGGGCTAGATCTTTCCCTGGGGAAACCTCAGTTACAGCATCTTCCTGCAGATAACCCTGGTCCCAACTTCACAGGTACTTGAGGGTCGCTGTGAGATGTGAAGCGCTCAGTGAGGTGCTTCCCTTGGTCAGCACTCAGAAACGCTTGCTGAGCACCAGAATCTTAGAAGCTTGATTGGATCCTCTTGGTGCATGAGGTTGCACCTGTGGGCCTCTTGTGATCTTTGGGGATGAAGGCAGCAGATTGATGTAGCTTCATACATGGAGGGTTCGCATACCATATTCCCAAGGAAGCCTTTTCCTTAACAGAGTCTGTGACATCCGTTCTGCTGCTAGTTGCATTTTAGCTCAAGAGTTTTCCATTTACTGCAGGTCCTTCACCCTCAGCTCTCTCTTGTCTCTGGGATGGGGAAGAGGAAAGGAAGGGGTTGGGGCATGGATGATACCAGCCACTGTGAGAGGTCCTCTGCACTCTCACTTCTTTTCAGTTCCTCACAAACCATTCCCTCACCTTACTACCACCGACATCACTCACAGACGAGGAAATAGGGGCTCTGAGTGGTGGAGTATTTTACTCTGTGTGGTCATCTAGATAAAGGTGCAGACAGGATTTCATCTAGGCCACACTGCAAACTGAGTCCTTAGACATCAGACAGTTGATCCATGTGAGAAATGGAACGGTTCAACAGTGGGGCCTCAGTGAAGGCCGAAGGACCTTGGCTGGAAGAAGACCACACAGAAGATCCTTGCAAGGGGTCTCAACCATACCTGGTGGCCCCTAGGTTTAACACAACAGCTACTTACAGAAAATACTGCACCCACTAGTTGGAACTCCCAGGGCACCAGGGGCTTCGCTTCCTTGCTCTGGCTTATTCTCAGATGGGTGCAGATGGCAGCATGGCTGGCTGAATTTTTATCTAGACAGAACCTACTTCCTACAGCTCATGTAATTTCTCAGAGATTGCCAAGCCACCTTCACCTCCTCATTTCCCTCCTCCTAGCTATTCTGTATTCTCTGCACCGCTCCCGTCCTGTGGAAATGAACACATCAAAGCCATATGGAGTCATTCTTTCTGGGCGCCCGTGTCCTTTCTCTCTTCTCCTTTTCCTGGAACATTAATATTAATAGCTTGTTTCTTTGCAGTTGCTTTCTTCTCCAACCTCAAGGGACCAGAACCTTTTCTTGGTCTTTGTGCCAGACGGTGTGCTTGTTTGAAGGCTGCTGAGGCTTGCTGGGACAATGACGTCTCTGGTGTAATCTGAGCCACACAGTGCAAGCATGTGATGCCACTCCACAGCCAGCTCCATCAGGCTGAATATTCTTTGTAATATTTGTCCCTTTGGAGGAGGAGGGAGAGTGATGAGCAAACAGTGTAGGAAAAGTCTAGTAAAATCATCCAAAGCCCGACTGGCTTGGGAGCCTGGCTGTGCAGGGAGCAGGGAGCATTTTTGCATGCCTTGTCTCCTGGCATCGCAATTCTGCCAGGTTCATATGGGTCTCCTCATTGAATAGACCCAGAAACTCAGGCCCAGAGTGCCAGTCACTTGCCTCACGTCATATAACTTGCAAGTCTGAGGACAGAAATTCAAATTCTCTATGACCTAACTCCAAGCCCATATTTTAAACCTTTACTCTCCACTGTTACCTGCTCTGCAGCCTTGATTCCAGCTGAATTTCCAGAAAATGGAGACGAGAAGAAAGGCTTCTTTTTGAATCAGACCCTCCTCGGAGCAGGAGAGCTGGCAAGGTGGTCCTCCTCCTTCATGCCCACTCCAGTCGGCCTGGGCATCATCCCCAAGTTCACAGGAGCTCTGGCAGGGAAGGGTCAGATCTGTGCTTGCCAGCCCCCGGGGAAGGCCTCATCCATGCACTGAGCTCTCCCTCCATGAACCAGAGTGCAGCTATGTGTCCGGGCTCACCCAGGGGAACCCCCACCAGGTGGTGGGTGAGTTGGAGTGGAGAGGCGTGACCCACTTCCAGTCCATGGAGACCGAGAGTGTGAAAGTAGCAGAGATCGTATCCCTGACTTAAAAAAAATAATAATAATAATAGATGTATTTCCTGGAATGGAAAAGGCTAAAATGACCAGAATATCTAGGAACTTTCCTCTAGTTTACGGGGGTTTTCAGGTTCACTATAAACAACACTTTCCCACATTTTGTTCTCCCTGATCTCAGCAGATTTACCTTGGTTCCTCCGCTACGTCGGATTCTTCCCTGACTGAGGACTCCACAGCCTGTGTCATTATCTAGCTCCTCCTGCATCCTTTTGGGCCTCATTGTGCTTCTCATGTCAAACTAGATGAGTTCCCCAGACTAGAAAACCACTGGAGCTCTAATTCATACAGCACCAAAGGACCAGAGAGCAAACATTTTCAACTCTGTGGGCCATATGGGTTTTGACACATCTTTTCAACAGTTTTGCAGTGCGAACTCAATCGTAGGCAAGACGTACCTGAATGGGTGTGGCTGTGTTCCAATAAAACCGTTTACAAAATCAGGTGGGGAATCAGACTTAGTTTTATCGGCCACAGGTTGCTGATCTTTTCCCTTGGACATCACTGATATATGGAAAGCACAGGCAGCTAACTCGGGTTTCCACAATAACGAACAAAACTAATGTCATATAAATTGGTCTTGGCTCTAAAAGAGTAGATCCCACCCCACCCCCAAGTATAAACTAAAGCAAATATTTCTTCCTGTGCTAAACCCACCTCTGGTGAGTATTGCTTCAAAGAGATACAGGTGCCAGTTATATGGAGATCTTGAATCCTCACAACCCATCGTGTGAGTTGGGAGCAAATCATTTCTTTTAACATCTATATTTTATACCATTTATAACAGGTCTCCCCAGATGCTGTCTAGGTTGGGAAATTGCAGAAGAAAATTTAACTGAGAACAAGGACCACAGAAAATTAGAAATCATTTTGCCAGAAATGTTCCAATGATCGATTCTGTTTCTCTCAGGGGAAGTAAATTCGTGGGTGAAACTACCATGGTACACAATTTTATTAATTCAAAATGAGGTTTTTGGAAGCCTGGCTGCATGTGAGTTGGAATCTCTGTGGCTCTTGTCATTTGCTCTTTGCTTCTACCAGCTTCCTTCCTCCTGAGTGTCCCGCCCAGTCCCGCTATATTAGAGGCTCAACTGCTGTCTGTTTCTTTGTGGATAAAAATTCTTCCTGCCAGTCTCAGTGTCTGCAAGAGCCTCTCAAGAGCCAGCCAGAAGACATTTTCATTAACTATTTATTAGACACCCCTGTGGGTCAGGGGACTCATGTAGATGACAAATAGACTATCTGCAAAGAGCTCTCAGATCAGGTGAATGAGTTGGTACTACTCACACATGCAACACAATTCAAAAGAATAAGAATGACATGCACTAGCGATGGCACCCTAGCCACCTGCACCATGTGGCCTCAGCCTGCTGCCAGAACATCAAATTGTCTGGATGAGGGTGTTACAAGGTACCAAGAGTGTAGAGTAATGGTACTGGTAGAGAATATAGGTGACCAAACAAAAGAAGGTGAAGGTTTCCACGACTCCTTTATGAATAACCATCATATCAACTGGCTAGTTGGGAACTTATAATCCCTTACTCCATCATGGGCTAGGGATGGGGTGACTTTGCCAATAACAGTTTGTACTTCTTGAATTCTATCTCTTCCTCTCCCTCCCCTCCTTTAGAATGGCCTCCAACCAGCCCACAAACACATCACCCAGTTATACCTGGGAGTCACCGGGGACATTTGTAAGGGGCCATGTGACCATACAAGCCAGGTGGGTGCAGGGAGAAATAAAACACAAGCCATTGGGATGTGTGAGATGTTCTGGAAGCACTCTATCTGCATTCTGACTGTGGTGGAGAGGGACACTGGGCACCCAGAACCCTGGTGTTAAGGACCCCATCCCCACCCTAAGCAAAGGTAGAAGGCAGGTAGCTGCAGTGTCCATAGGGCTTGATCTGGGGCATGTTTTACTCTGTACAGGCTTCTGAGACCCTCCTGCCAAACCGAGCACATCCCTGGGGCCTTCCATTGAGCCTGCACATCCACATACATTCTTGCTCTCATACATATCCTTCCAAGGGCTCATTGGCAGTTTCTTCAGTAAAGTGCAATATGTCTTTTAAATGAGTTTCTTCCTGCCTCCACTCTATAGAAGGTAAATAAGTTTTTTTTAAAAATTTCTTTGAAAGCCTTCCAAAGTGTCCCTCTGATTCACCTTCTCGCCGCATCTTATCTTCCTCTTTCATGACGCTTTTCATAGTATAATCGATCTGTGTTTTGCCTAATTGTATTTTGGGTGTCTGTTTTCCTGACTGCAGCTATCCTGAGGACAGGAGCTGTCTGTGCCTGCCATGACGTATCAAGTTTCCTCAACGTTCATTCGCTGAATGAACAAATGAAGGAATGCACCTGACTCTCCATGCATGGCCTGCTGCACCGCACAGAGGGGGACTCCCACATTTTGGGCCGATTAGGACTGATCTTGTCGCTAAGTGGGATCAGAATCAGACACTTCTAAAAAGCCCTCTCCCCACATGTGTAATGAACTCATTGCCATTGACCCTTGGAAAGGGAAACAGAATGAGAGGGGGAAAAGACTAAGGTGGCTGGGAGGGGAGACACTTGCCCAGTAGTAAGTCAAATTATCAATCTTCTGCGTAAAACAAAGACCCTATTTAATATTCCATGGCAAATAGGAAAATCAACACTATAACAAATAACTTCCTGCTGGACGTTTCCAGCAATCCAGACTCTAATTCTACTGTTCATGAAAAACTGTGTGAGTCCTAGAGACAGAGAGCCAAGGCTGAGTTACAGTCTGCAAGGCCAACATATTTCTGAGATCTCTCCAGGAGACCTAATGGGAAAATTCAAATGAGGCCACCTGCTTTATTACATGTCGAAAGGAGCGCCCCCGCCCCCCACCCCCAAGTGCAATTTATTCTCCTAAACTTACAGCATGGCAAATGGGATTTTTCAATGGATTTTTCTTTCAAAGGTCATCGTCTTTACCAAGCCACCAAGCTTTTTGTTGAAAAAGGATTTAGATAATTTGGGAACTGGTGTGTCAGGCTTTTTTTTTTTTTCAATTTTCTTTTTCTGTTCAGGAAGAGACCCATTCTTGTATAGTCATGCCCCATTGAACAGAGCCAAACCTGGATATAATTATTTCCTCTGAGATGAAAGCAGCCTAATATGGAAGAAGCTATTGAAATTGAAATCTCAGAAAACGACCAATCCAAGGAAAGAGTATTTTTATCAATGATGCATTCTCCCAAGAGGCACGTTATTAAAATTTCAAATATGTGTGTGCACGCACGAAAGTATGCACACACAAATGTTCAGACATATATGCTTGTGTGTATATAAATATATATAATTATGTATATGCATATACATATGTATGTGTGTGTGTGTGTATATATATATATATATATATATAGTGTTCAGAAGGAAGATAATTCAGTAATTAGCAAAGAGGGCAGAATCACAAACATCTAATTAGAACAGAAAACAAAGTCATTTTTAAAAACTGTCAAATTTAATTAAGAAAAACTAGCATTTGGATGCAGGGCTACCTGTTGATCATGAAGTGAGGAAGAGCCGGCTTCAGGAAAACTGGGACAACTTCTCTATTTACACTCTGCTCCACACCCAAATAATCACAGATTTTCTCCCACCTGGAAAAATCACATAGGGAGCTGGAATTCTTTTTGGCCATGTTTCTCTATTTCAAGAGCCGATGGAAGGACATTAGCCATGAACCTAAGGTTTCAGAGACTTCTGTCACCCATTGAGTGTAGGCATGTCACATGGGCAAGAAACTGTCCCTGCCTCCTTGCCTTTGGTGTTGCTCCAGAGACTGAGAGAGGCCTTTAGATGTTTGCAGTCTGGACATGAAGCCCAGGCATAAGCAGGTCACTCCACTTGGCCCTACGTAGGCAGGATCCCAAGAAGTAACAGAAAGCTCCTCCTGCGGGAATCCGCTGGTCTCTTTGGTATTGGTTGTTCTTGTTCTGTTCCAATCTGTTTTTGTTTTTATTGTTGTTGCTGTTGTTGAATAATCCTAACTCAGCTTTTAAAGAAAATCCACTGAAGCAATGGATTCTAAAATTTTCACCTTATTCTATGTCTATCAAACACACCCTCCTCCTTGGTCTTACCTTCATCCTTCATGGCAGGCTGAATCCCCCCATTGTTCTTCCTGTTCCTTCTGTTGCCTGGAGTATTCTTTCTCATCTGTCCAACCTAATTGTCTCCTAGGTGTCTTTTCAGAATTGGTTTCAGCCTCCTCCAGTGAAGACTTCCTGAAAGGAGTCTTCTGTAATCAAATGGTCCACTGATGTGTGCCCACAACACCTTGCTCTTCCCATTCACTGACCTCATGGCATCCAATGGATCTGTTCGTGACTCCACCCATTCAGGAACTCCAAGCTCTTGGCTGGGAACTCCTTCTTCCCTTTATATCTACAGCACTTAATACAGAGTGGACGAATTTTAAATGATAATTAGTTATTAAATTAGTTATGAAGTCTTGTATTTAAAATTCTGTTTTCTACTTTGTATTAACATACAAAACAGAATCTAGTGGGCGAGGCTCTGCTGCTG